TTTTTGTCTAGTTTAAGACCTTTTTTCATCGTGCTATGCTCTTTTTTAGCTAATTTTTGGAGGTAACTACACTTGTCTATTTTCTTTTTTCTTTTTTTGTTGTTGTTTCTCGCAAAAGTTAAGTAGTGTGGCGCCAAAAAAGAAAAGGTTGTATTCATCGTTCTACCACTTAAGCCATACTTGCAAACCCGGATTCACTTCAAGTATATTCAGAAAATTCTTTCTATATATATATATATATATATATATATATATATATATATATATATATATATATCTGTTAAGAGACCGGAAAAATACAAAATAGGCGGAAGTATAAAAAGTGCTTAATACAGCTGCCTTAAAAATTATATATATATGTATATATATATAGTAATCCACATACAAGCCTTTTTCGCTGTATTACAGCTCATCAGTTGCCTTATATATATATATATATATATATATATATATATATATATATATATTACCAATTTGTGATTTCTAGGGATAATTCCAAGGAGGATATTAATCCCGAGAGAGCTCAATGTAATTTTGCCTCTTCTCCCCCACCTCTCTCTCTCTCTCTCTCTATTTCTCATCTTAAAAAGAACTGTCACTTTCCTTCATTCTCGCCTTCTTACTTGTTTTCTCTCTTGCTTTACCTCCCGACCCCCTGTCAATCTAATTTCCGGCGAAATTATCTCTATTTGTTATTAAAACATTCGGTCTGAAGAGATGAATATATACAGATATTCACAAAATAAATTATAATTGTAATCGATCTTTACGGTTTCCTACTTGATTTATTATATATATATATATATATATATATATATATATATATAGATAGATAGATAGATAGATAGATAGATACATAGATAAAAATGCGTGGGTAAATAATCCAAGTGAATCCTAATAATATAAAATATTAAAACAGATCCCCAAATGAGAGTTCAATATATTTATTATAGAGCATAGAATGGAATTATATAAAAATCTCAATTGTACCCCATTTATATGGCCATTTCGCTCTTTGGGATAAATTCCTGCAGCTTGTCAATATATATATATATATATATATATATATATATATATATATATATATATATAAATATTTAATGAAAAACAGACAACTTTTAAGGTACCATTACAATAATTTATTTCACAAAATCCTTTTTAAAGGACTCCTTTAATATATATATATATAAAATATAAATATATACATATACAAAATATAAACATACATATATAAATCTCTCTCTCTCTATATATATATATATATATAAAATATAAATATATATATATATATATATATAAATCTATATAAATAAATTTCTAAGAGGATAGAATACCATGGAATATTAATGTTTGAGCTTTTTTTATATATATATATATATATATATATATATATATATATATATATATATATTACACAACAAAATCCTAAATTAACTCATATGGCGAGAGGAGTATAGATGTATTTCAACCAACAAGAAGTCTTATTCAACCCCGATGTACAGACTGTTCATATTTAAGTACCATTTGTTTATTTTTGAAGTAACCTAACATTTTTTTTATATGTAATTACATTTCTTTTATAAAACTCCTTTTTCGTCCCTCTTTTAGTTTCAATTGAACACCTCATTCTTCATATAACCGCAATTTAATGTCAGAAGGTTAATATCCGTGTTAATTTTATAAAACCTCTTCCCTTTAACGGTAATACTTTCAACCCTCCCGTTCCCACCAACTAGGACAATTCGTCTGACAGAAACATCGAAATAGATGAATATTGTATCAATTTTTCGACTGCTGTCAAAATTAAATTTTAAAATTCTAATTCCGACACGAACACAGTCTACACACCGGGGTTGAATAAGTCTAATATACTTCTCGTTGGTTGAAAGAGATATATCCCCTCCCCACTGTTGACCATGTTCACCATAGTCTATGAATATAGAATACAGCGCAGTACGTAATCTGTTCAATGAAACAAAGTTAAAGATTAATACTCACGAGTCAGACACTCTACTGAATCTGACTATATCGCCAATACCACCAGCAGCTGTTCCGTAATTCTTCAGTCTTCGATATCAAAGGCTGGCAGTGAATATTCGGGAAAAACATGGCCGCCTTTATACACGTCGCATTGAATATTTTGAGCCTTCTGATTGGTTAACCCTTCTATTGGTGAACTATAAAATGAGTCAGCTCATTTTGGCTGGCTCACTAGTACACCAGGGTACCCAAAAATTCCAACACCCCATATGAGGTAATTTTGGATTTTGTTGCGTAATTTATATGCTCTGTTATAAAAAAAATACATTGAGTTCTTTTTGTAGATCAGTTTTAATATTTGATATTACTAGGATCCACTTGGATATTATACCAACGGATTTATTAGCTGTACTATATATTTACACACACACACACACACATATATATATATATATAATCTCTCTCTCTCTCTCTCTCTCTCTCTTAGGTTGTCCGTAATTGCTGAAGACGACGCTGTCCTTCCATCTCCGCCCGTCTTCTCTGGGCTGCCAAACGAAACAGCAGCTCGATCCGCGAACGACAAGCTCTCGGGCACAGGTGGCAGGGAAACATGCCCGGTGCGGTATTGGCAGGTTGCAGATGAACGCTGGCGTCGCCTAACCACGAGGCGCTCCTTGTCTCTCCTCCTCAAAGTGTGCCACTCCGGTGACGCAGAGAGACCGCCAGCCGACCCAATCCTGTAAGGTTCTCCAGTTGTGTTGGATCAATATTACAGGAGAGAAGAACACGCTTAAGGTAGTCCCGAAACCGTTTCTTTGGGCCTCACGTGGGCGGCTGCCGTCACACACACACACACACACACACGTGTGTGTGTGTGTGTGTGTGTGTGTGTGTGTGTGTGTTGTGTGTGTGTATACTATTTACATTGCTCGGACTATCATCCTCATCTTTGTTGCCATATTTATCACAACGTTTCATCCGTTGTACTGATAACTAACATCTATTAAACATGGCACGTAGAACTAGAACAGTCTACCCCAGTGAGCGAAATAAAAGGTTAAGTTCGACATTCCAATCACCTGAAGAAGGCCGGAGCGTACAACGGCTGAAACGTTGTGATAAATATGGCAACAAAGATGAGGATGATAGTCCGAGTAATGTAAATAGTGTACATAATACCTCATCTAAGAATATATATATATATATATATATATATATATATATATATATATATATATATATATATATATATATATATATATATATATATATATATATATATATATATATATATATATATATATATATATATATATATATATATATATATATATATATATATATATATATATATATATATATATATATATATATATATATATATATATATATATATATATATATATATATATATATATATATATATATATATATATATATATATATATATATATATATAGCGTGAACTAAAAGTATATGGACAGTAAGTGATAACATTTATTTTCTGATTACATACAATTAAATTTCATAACAAATTATTACATATACAATTAAATTTTATTGCATGCAATACAAAAATTACTGGAAATTTTATCAACTGCAGCCCAACACAATTTACACAGCTACAGTAGAATTATATATATATATATATATATATATATATATATATATATATATATATATATATATATATATATATATATACAGGGTGTCCATAAAGTTCGTGTGCACTTTAAAAAATTATAACTTTATTTGTATTTGCGAGAGAAATAATTTGTAAAAAGGATTAGAAAGAAATAAATCAATATTTTTTAAGGTTTTATTGAAATTTTATTTCAGTTTCCACATGTCCTCCATCATTTACATCAATACAAAGGGTAATACGATTTTGCAGTCCACGGAAAACATTTGCCAACTGATTTACAGTAATGCCCGAAATCACATTAGTTATTTTAGCTATACTTAAAACTAGGTACATTAAACTTTATAACATTTTTTACAGATTATTTCTATCGCAAATACAAATAAAGTTATAAATTTTTTAAAGTGCACACAAACTTTATGGACACAGTGTATATATATACTAGCAGCATGGCCCGGCGTGGCCCGAGCTTGATTCAAAAATCGTACGACTCATATACCAATCGCTATCACTTGACTTAAAATATTTTTGCTCTTCCTTGCCTTTAAAGGAGTGCCCTTTGCCGTGCTGATGTTGTTACTTCTTGCCTATCTCGCACTGCAAATTTTTTCTAAGCTCTATACTAAACATTAAATCTGTTACGAAAAAGAACTAAACAAAATGAACACAAAACGATCAGCTTTAAAAAAAAGGACTCGTAACTGGAAAAACCAAATGAAAAAAGAATGTTAACAACATATACTTTTTCACACCCAACCCAGTTCTGCGGAATCAGAATCAACGTTGAGTTTAAGCAAGCGAATGAGCCAATTGGAGTAAAGTGTCATGCAGATTTAAATTTTTCCCACTTGTGACGAATGCAGCTATCGATTTTTTTTTGCGTGCTAGCATGCTAGTTAACATTCGTGCCAGTCAGCTGTTGGCTCTCACGCTGGCCAATAGAATCTTCCTGCCTATTCGTAGCAGCCAGCTATTGGCTTTCACTCTGGCCAGTAGAAAATGGCCGCAAACTGCATGAAAACTGCCGTAGAAGCATGAAAAAATCGATTATTTCCACTATCGATGGGAGTTGGGAAATACAAAGTCGGTCTTGGCTGTTCCCGCTAACTTGGAGCATGTGCATGTAAATTTTGGTGCAAATCCGTCGAAAATTGCGACCGTGCATTCGTTACACAAACACGCACATCCTGCCTTTTATAGATAGAGATATGATAACGAGCTTAACAAGTCTGGTACTCGTAATGAAATAAAAGATGATTCCCTACTTATTCTTGACATTACTGATATCCTTGAGGTGAGTTCTGAAGCGAGCGCGTATTTGTGGATAATTGAAGGATAAAAAAATTCTTAGAGAGGACTGCTTGAGGCAACTAGGCTTACGGCCCGATCACGTTGAAACACCGGTCCCCGTACGATCACCGAAAGTTAAGGCAACGTCGAGCCTGGTTAGTACCTAGATGAGTGACCGCCTTGGAATATCAGGTGCTGTACGTTTGGATCTCTAGGTGCTACAATGGATAATCGCTCGGAATTGTTAATCGGAGAGTTGGGTTCGTTATATTCAATTACGCGAAAGATGTATCTGCTTCTTCTTCCCCCCAACCATGGGTTAATTAGTAAGACTTGTATCACTAAACCATTATTATCTCCAAAAATGAAATAAAATTGCGTAAAAAATATTTAGATTTTGGCAATAAAAAGAAGTTATTATGCCACTAAACAAGGAATTACGGTCAAAATTTCAGACAAATAATGGTTATATCGATGGAGCTTCATATATACGAGACGGACAGTAGAAATACAATAATCAATGGTACCATTTTTTGTTGAAAAACATTGAGGACACGGAGACGCTTAGATTTTAATTTAAATTTTAAAATTTCTTGACGTAAAATTATAAATACCCGTTGTCTCTATATCTCCCTCCTTCTCTCTCTCTCTCTCCCCGTGCGTCTCTGCCTCTATATATCTGTTCGTCTTTCTTTCTTTCTTTTTAGACTTACTGCATTCTATCTATCTATCTAGCTAGCTATTTATCTATCTGTTGAAGCATACCTACGGACGATAATGGGTATGTCCCCATTCGCATCAATACAGTAGTGAATACTGTATGTTGGTCTGCAGTTGGAGATTCGTCTCCAGCTGTGCTGGTTAAACACTCTGTCTCCAGGCAGAGAGGATCCCCAGACGAGGCTATGTCGAATGGCAGAGTCTCGTCCCGGGAAACAGCTACACGACCCCGTTTTATACGGGGTCGACGAGGAATTTTCGGCCGAGCCTACGGGCTCAGATAACCCCCATTAAATTCGACTATGTGCCACATCTGACCGCCTGGGGTTGTTGGTAGATATCCTGCAGTTGGAGATTCGTCTCCGGGAAGAGAGGGCCCCCAGACGAGGCTATGTCGAAGGGCAGAATCTCGTCTCGGGAAACAGCAACCAGACCCCGTTTTATACGCGGTCTATGAAGAATATTTGGCTGAGCCTACAGGCTCGGATACCCCACATTAAATTCGTCCATGTACCATATCTGACCACGTGGGGTGATTGGTATATATTTTTCAGTTGAAAATTTATTGTAGAATTCAATTGACTCACTTCTAGCAGTTGACTACTTCTACGCGCCGCTGGCAAATCTTATATGTGTTGCTCTTGACCTAAGTATTATCGTTCATTACCAACCTTCATGCGATTAATCTATTCAGTAACCTTCCCTAGGTTACAACACTATCTATCTATCTATCTATCTATCTATCTATCTATCTATCTATGACCTAGGATAATGAAATTATATGGCCTCTTCAGGCTGGGCCACTCGTACAAGTCTAGCATATTTTTTTTATTTTATTCGGTTGTGCTATCTCGACCATTCATGTGTCTATCACATCAACCGTCACAGCCCTGCATCTAGGACGGAAGGTCATTAAGGTGACATTCTGTGTCATAACATAGCTGGTCAATTTAGGCAGATGCTGAGCGACCAACCCGTCTTGCTCCGTGGCTAGGTGTCCAGAGCACTAGTTCTTGATTTACTCGCCAGTACTGTCATGAAAAGCACATTCTATGTTCGCGGAACATTGTAGATTGTCAGAGATGGGTTCATGGAGATGTGAAGTAGTTGGATGTTGTCTCCAAGAGATGTTAAGTATAGATCTCAGCATCCAAGTGTAGATTCCATCAAGTGTATACTCTAGGGTTTAAGATTATAGAAATATTAGGGATGGTGTCCATAAAGCTGTGATTTAATTGGATGTTGTCTCCAAGAGATGTTAAGTATAGATCTCAGCATCCAAGTGTAGATTCCATCAAGTGTATACTCTAGGGTTTAAGATTATAGAAATATTAGGGATGGGTCCATAGAGCCGTGATTTAGTTGGATGTTGTCTCCAAGTGATGTTAAGTATAGATCTCAGCATCGAAGTGTAGATTCCATCAAGTGTATACTCTAGGGTTTAAGATTATAGAAATATTAGGGATGGGTCCATAGAGCTGTGATTTAGTTGGATGTTGTTTCCAAGAGATGTTAAGTATAGATCTCAGTATCCAAGTGTAGATTCCATCAAGTGTATACTCTAGGGTTTAAGATTATAGAAATATTAGGGATGGTGTCCATAAAGTTGTGATGTAATTGGATGTTGTCCCCAAGAGATGTTAAGTATAGATCTCAGCATCCAAGTGTAGATTCCATCAAGTGTATACTCTAGGGTTTAAGATTATAGAAAATTACGGATGGGTCCAAAGAGCTGGATGATGTTGTCAAGAGATGTTAAAGATTGTGATGTAGATTCCATCAAATTGGATGTTGTCTCCAAGAGATGTTAAGTATAGATCTCAGCATCCAGGTGTAGGTTCAATCAAGTGTATACTCTAGGGTTTAAGATTATAGAAATATTAGGGATGGGTCCATAGATCTGTGATTTAGTTGGATGTTGTCTCCAAGAGATGTTAAGTATAGATCTCAGCATCCAAGTGTAGATTCCATCAAGTGTATACTCTAGGGTTTATAGAAATATTAGGGATGGGTCCATAGAGCTGTGATTTAGTTGGATGTTGTCTCCAAGAGATGTTAAGTATAGATCTAAACATCTGAGTGTAGATTCCATCAAGTGTATACTCTAGGGTTTATAGAAATATTAGGGATGGGTCCATAGAGCTGTGATTTAGTTGGATGTTGTCTCCAAGAGATGTTAAGTATAGATCTCAGCATCCAGGTGTAGGTTCAATCAAGTGTATACTCTAGGGTTTAAGATTATAGAAATATTAGGGATGGATCCATAGAGCCGTGATTTAGTTGGATGTTGTTTCCAAGAGATGTTAAGTATAGATCTCAGCATCCAAGTGTAGATTCCATCAAGTGTATACTCTAGGGTTTAAGATTATAGAAATATTAGGGATGGTGTCCATAAAAATGTGATTTAGTTGGATGTTGTCTCCAAGAGATGTTAAGTATAGATCTCAGCATCCAAGTGTAGATTCCATCAAGTGTAGACTCGAGGGTTTTAGATTATAGAAATATTAGGGATGGTGTCCAGTTGTGACACCATAGATGTTAAAACCATCTCCAATGGCGATGTTAAGGTTTAAGATAGAATCTACGTTAGAAGTTGTCTGGTAGACTCAGGATTTTTTATAGAATTACAGGGATTGGGTCCAAAAGCTGTGATTTAGTTGGATGTTGCGCCAGAGATGTTAGTTTGATCTCAGCATCCAGGTGTAGGTTCCATCAAGTGTATACTCTAGGGTTGAATAAATATTAGAATGGGTCTATAGATCTGTTTCAGTTGGATGTTGTCCAAGAGATGTTAAAAATATTCTCCAGGTGTAAATTCCATCAATTTTGTATTTAGGGTTTTGATTACCAAATGCAGGGGATATTTCATAGAACTGTAGAATTAAAAAAAATGTTAAAAATCAATATTTTTGTAGATTCCATCATTATAACAATATAACAATCCATAGAGCTGTGATTTAGTTGGATGTTGTCTCCAAAATAAGTATAGATCTAAGATTCCATCAAGTGTATATCAGGATTATAGAAATATTAGGGATGGGTCCAAAGCTGTGATTTAGTTGGATGTTTTCCAAAATTCGTAAAACCTAGAAAATTAAAATCAACTCTAGGGTTTAAAATTTATAAAACATTCTGGACTGGGTCCAAAGAGCTGTGATTTATGGATGTTGTCTCCAAAACACATTGTACAAGAATCTAAATCATTCTTTTCCTTGCTTTCCTTCCTGTAAAAGACATATTTCAACACAACCGTGGGAAAAAAAATGGGTCCATAGAGCTTTTTTAGTTGGATGTTGTCTCCAAGAGATGTTAACAATCAATCTAAATCCAGGTGTAGGTTCAATCTTTTATATAGGGTTTAAGTTTTTAGAAATATTACGGATGGGTCCAAAGATCAATGCTTTATGGATGTTGTCTAAGATATAAATCTCAGCATCCAAGTGTAAATTGAAACAATGTATTATAGGGTTTATAAAACACAATGGGATAAATTAAAACATTCTTTGATTTTTCCTCCAAAATCAAATAAATCTCAGCATCCAGGTGTAGGTTCAATCAAGTGTATGACATTATTGAAATATTAGGGATGGGTCTATAGATCTGTGAAGTTGGATGTTGTCTTTAGATGTTATAACATCAGCATCCAAGTGTAGAAAATTAAAATCATAGGGTTTTAGAAATATAAAAACTAGAGCTGTGGTTGGATGTTGTCTCCAAGAGATGTTATAGATCTAGCATCCAGGATAAGGTTCAATCAAGTGTATATAGGGTTTAAGATTATACGGATGGGTCCTAAAGGATTAAGTTGGATGTTGTACCTATCTAAGTATAGATCTCAGCATCCAAGTGTATATCCATCAAGTGTATATATAGGGTTTATATAAATATATATATATCCATATATATATTTATGGATGTTATATATATATGTTAATATAAATCTCAGCATCCAGGAAGGTTCAATTTAGTGTAAGTTAGGGTAAAACCTAGAAAATTACGGAAAAAACTGCTTTATTTAAATGTTTCTCCAAAACATTCTGAACTAAAATCAAATGTGATTCCATTACTTGAAACATCTGGGTTTATAGAAAACTGGGATCATTCTGATTTTTGGATGCTTTTCCAAGAGATGTTAAATTCAAATCAGCATGAGGTTAGGTTCAATCTTAATATCAGGGTTTCAGTTTATAGAAAACTATTTGATTTAGTTGGATGTTGTCTCCAAGAATGTTAAGTAAAATTCAAAATCCATTGATTCCATCAAGTGTATTAGGGTTTATAGAAATATTAGGGATGGGTCCCTAGGCTGTGATTTAGTTGGATGTTTCATCCAAGAGATGTCTCTCTAGATCTCAGCATCCAGGTGTAGGTTCAATATATATATATATATTTATATTATAGAAATATTAGGGATGGGTGTGTGTGTGATTGTGTGGATGTTGTATCATAAAAGTATGATCTCAGCATTCAAATTCCATGC